ACGATACATGCTAACCCACTTGCCGGTTAAATGCAGCTTTAGTTGCAAACATAAACCACCCAGGCTGATTAGCGGCTGATCAAGATAACCTCAAATCACTTCTTATAATTTCAGTTTAAACTTTAAACTGATAGTTTGCCATGAATGTGGTGTTATGAAATTTGCATGGCAATTGCAGCCGTTGTACGGTATATTGTGGATAGAGCTGTTAAATTAAGCAAGCCGCTCGTGAGCTCGGCTTGTTTGGTAAACGAGCCAAGCTCGAGTTCATTTAAAGCTCGTTAGTCAACGAGCTCGGCTCGTTAAGGCTCAAAAAGATAGTTTTATGTATTTTTTCTATAATTTGACTTGATTTTGGCTTGTTAAGGCTCGAGCTCGGCTTATTAATATTGATAAACGAGCCAAGCTCGAGCTCGATTATAAGCTCGTAACTTAATGCACGGCTCGAGCTCGAGCAGCATGAACTCACGCTTGCTCGGCTTGTTTACATCCTAATTGTGGATAACTGAGGAAGTCTACCAAGCCGTTAAAGGCTCGAGCTCGAGCAGCATGAACTCAAGCTTGCTCGGCTTGTTTACATCCTAATTGTGGATAGCTGAGGAAGTCTAAGGTTGAAATGAGTAACAAATTTTTCATTTCATTTTTGTCTGATCAATCAAGATTTATGTAATTGGAACAAATATGAAACAAAATTTTCACACTTTTTTTTTCCCTATATAAATTTTACTCACAATTATAATATAAATAATAAAAAGTATCATTATTTTATATTTTTAGTAACTTATTTTTTCATCATTTTACATAATTTTAATTACACGATACTATCGTATAATATTTTATTATTTTTACATTAAATTAATTTAATCATTATAAAATATCATTAATAATTTTTAATATATATATTTTTAAAAAAAATTGATCCTTTTTTTATTATTTTTTTGGAAAAAAATTAATAGACGTAAAGAAAAATAAAAGATAAATTAAATCTTCTAAGTCTCGTTTATTTGAAGGGATGAAATATGATGTGATAAGATGATTTAAACTTTAATATTGTTATCATTCGATTCGGTAATCCGAAATTACTAGCCTCAAACCACGCTTTAGATGGATTATTACCAACACCGACATGGTCAGCATTCACCCCGGTCCGCATACTAAACCGATCTAACCATAGAAAACCGAGGTGATTATCACACCGAGGTCATCCCGAGCCGAGGTCATCATAAACCGAAATCTCCTGAACCGAGGTCACTATTCTCGAAGCTGGTGACAAGGCGCCTACGCGCGAGCCTCACACATCACAAGATCCGTCATCATTCATGTGGGATCCACTCACATGGCCGCCCATCAAAAGCTACTTTACAAGAAAAAACTACTGTACATCTCGAAGTACGAGCAAAAAAAGCTACTATAAATAGCACATCCATATTCTTGTACCAGGATCGATTGATGAACATTTGATACGTATATACAAAAACTCGACACCTTCACCTCGGTTCACCTCGGACCGGCCATCGTTGAGTTTTGATTGCATGTTTAACGTCCAAATTACTCAAATCACGTAACTAATCATAT